AAGAAAATAGTAAAAAAAATCTATTTAAATTCTATAATATTCTAAAATTGATTAAAACTATTAAAACTATTTAAAGAAACTATTAATATCCTAAAATGATTAAAATCTACCTAATATATTCTAAAAAGAATTACAATTATTAAAAATATTAAAAACCTATTAATATTCTATATTATCCTAAAATGATTAAAAAATCTATTACAACCCTAATAATGCCTAATAAAATCCAGAAAAATCACAATAATTCTCGAAGGAACAAAAATAGCACCGAACGACAAATAACACTGCGCGAGCGCACCAAAATAGCCGGTAAAAATAAACGGACACCGAAATATCCCTAAAAACAACAGCGCAAGCTGCAAACACTGGGAATAGCACGACTGCCCAAAAATATGTGATTCTACCTACCTAAACTGATCAAAAACACCTGAAACACGAGACGAGGGTTGTGATCCCGATGAAGCCAAAATAACTGGGAAAATGCACTGTATGCGATATGCAGATGCGAATGCGGTCATGCGTCGAAACATCGAGCCAGATACGAGACCCGGTTGGTCAAATTTTAGGGTGCAACAAGGGGGAGATTCATAATCTCAGGGGGAGTTATATTTATCTCTTTATTGAACAAAATTTCCTATGTTTTTGTCATCATCAAAAAGGGGGAGATTGTTAGAACACATATTGGTTCTTAGTTATATCTCTATGTTTTGATGATAACACTAATGAAATTTTGTATTAAGAAATTATATACTCTAAATTTGTTCAAGTATTTTTGCTGCAAATATTAAATGAAATATCCTTCTGAAAGCAAAAATGAATCTGAACGTTGAACTACGCAAGGCTCTGAGCATCAGAAGCATCTCATTAGAAGACTCTGAGCGCTGCCTACAGAAGACTCTGAAGCAGATGCTACAGAAGCATCTGAAGCATAGACTGAAGACTTTGTATGAAGAGTTTCAAGCACTGTTTTTCAGAAGACTCTGATAGTACTGTTCGCTACAAGTACTGAGGATCTGATCTCCAAACTCTGCTCTGAATGATTTCACGCTGAAGCACACTTGCTGCAACACTCTGATACAGCAAACTCTGAAGACATCAAGACTCTGATCACTCAAGGCTCTGATGTTGATTGCTGTGAAATAGAAACTTGTTGAAGAAGATTATTCAGGTTGTGCCAAACGACTCTTTCCTCTTTTATGCTAGACACAAGAACTCAGGCAAAAAGGATTTCTCTGAACGTTCTACTTCTATGAAAGGTCAAGTGATGTGAAGACAAAAAGGCTACAACTACTTTACAGTACACGGTCTTCAAGCTTGCAACGTCTTGGACTTCTCTGCCTATAAAAGCAAGACTTCAACATCTTTCTACAGTTGACGAAAATTGATAAAACTATTGAAAACTCTCTCAAAGCTCTCATACAAATTATTATCCTTTGTTAAACAGTTTCATACGTTCTTAAACTTAAGTGTAAATCACAGTTGTGATATAGCTTTCTAAGAAGCATTTCAAACACTTGCTTAGTTTACATTTGATTGTAAAAGTTCCTTGAGAAGACCAAGTTGTGGTCATTAGTTCTTGAGAAGACTAAGACAGTTGTTCTTAGTGGTTGATATTGTAATCAGTTTGATTATAGTGGATTAAGTCCTTATGGAGAAAGGCAAATCACTCTTGATAGGGTGGACTGGATTAGTTGAGTTCAACGAACCAGGATAAAAATCATTGTGTCTTTTATTGCCATAATATTTTCTAAATCCTTATTCAACCCCCCCCCCCCCCCTTCTAAGTATTTTCCCACCTTCAAACTTGTCATATGATATACCTCTTTTTAGTAAAGAGCTCAACAATTCCTTGAAATATTTGAACAGAAAGTGGTGGAAAAAGTCCAAAACAAGAGATCTGACATCAATCCCCAGATCAAAGGAAATAGTGAAGACAAACCCAATGGTGGCAAGGGTACCCAGTGCCTTGAGTGTGAAGAATTTGGATACATTAAAGTAGAATAGCATACCTTTCTAAAAACACAGAAAAAGGAAATTTTTGTCACTTGGTCTGATTCTGATAATGAAAGTGAGGAAGAAACTGTCAACAATGTGATGGCTTATTCTTGAAGATATGAGTCTGAAGGTGAGTCCAATATTGAAGATCTGGCTGAAGAAGAACTTGATACATCATACAGGATCATGCATACCGAGTGGAAAGAAGCATGTTTAACTATAGACAATCAAAAGAAAAGCATATGTGTGCTTCAGAAGGAAACAAAGAGGTTTGCCTCAACCATCATAGGTGTAGAAAAGGAGGTTTCATCTTTAAACTCCAAACTTGAACACGTGATTCAATGCTTAATGGAATAGGGGATTTTGGAGAAATTTCTATAGACATTAATAGAATAAATTTTGGGACGAGCATGAAAGAATAATACATGAAGATTCCGTCAACTAAGGTTGTTCTACCTAAAATGAAGATTGAGGTTCTAATGTTGGACCACATGTCACAACTTCGTGTGAAACATGTGGCATCTATTCACAGTAGTAACAGGAAATTGAGTCTGAAATGTCACCACTGTGGTAAATTTGGATATGCTCAGCTTGATAGTCCATCAAAGCTGATGAACATAAGATGCAAGAAAGTCCAAGATAAGAAGAAATGGAAATTTAGTGCTACTTCAACTAGCCCTATAGCTTATACAAACAAGATTGTAATAGTGGGGGTACCAAGGACATGTCTAAAGAAAAGATAGTTCATGTCACTCCTAGCAATAGAGAGCAAAGGGAAGAATCAAAGACTTTAGGAAATTGGCCAAGCCTAGTCAATAGGAGGTGCTACTGAGAAAAGGATCATCTACCAATGTGATCAGCATGAACCATATGAGTGATCAAAGGTAGAATATGAACTTTTACAAATCCAAATGCGGTGTCACCGACAAAGATAAAGAAGTTCTTAAGAAGAAGATCATATCCGAGGAAGAAATCAAGGGATTATAAGATCTCAAGATTGATAAAGAAAGACCAACCAAGATGTCTTAATATCGTAGTTAAGATTTTGAATTATCACGTGAGAATTATGTCATTAAAGGGAAGGTTGGTGGTCAGATTGGAGGTCTTCCCAATTTTGAACGACCTACAGTCGGTCAAAAGAATAAGATAAAGAAGAATAATGGTTATGACTCAAGTCTTCCTATTAGAATTCCTCTTGAATAATGAGGTGTCAAAAGATTTTCTTGGATAATTATCTACAGGGGAGTCCGCATCAGCAACGAGTTCCTCTTGAATTGCTTCATAAGCTTCAGGGGTTTTAGGGACTTCATAAGCATATGATATGTGGCCCCGTGAAATAGATGTTTGAGACAAGCGACTTCAAAAAGTAGAAGCAGATGGTTATGAACCTCAACCTTGTGAACCATCAAACAAGGTAGCATTGACTCGTGGCCTCGTGAGCTTGCCTCTGGCCCTCTCACATCGTACATACGCGTGTTGGGACACAGTCATGCCTCAATATGTCCTGGTTGTTTTCAGCCATTGTACCTGTAATAAATCCATAATATTTTATCAAAATACAGTCAAGGCAAAATCTGGGGAAGCATCTTCGTAAACCAGTTCAGACAATATACAAAGATGCATCTCCAGATAAACTTGCGAGTCACAAAAATGGAAAAAAAACCATTGATGTCTTAAATTCCAATCAAATGGAAACGCATGTCTATGTCAACTACCTATTTTGAATGTAACTACTACCTAATGCATCTAAAACAACTTATTTTAGCTAATACATTTATCATATCTATAAATAAATAAAAAAGAAATGAGAAACTTATCGAATGAATGAGAGTTGGGAATGAAAAACTTCAATGATGGAGTGAGTGGAATGACTTGAAATTGAATGTAATGAAGCAGTAGTAGTATTGAACCTTTAAAAATGGACTTGAGTTCAAATGGGATTTTAGTGAGTTAGCAACAAATGAAGAAGGAAGGAGGACAGTCTAACGCAGACATATGAATTAAATACGTTCAGAGATGCATCACCGTAAAACTCACTAAATATTGAATTAAAGATTTTTACGGAGGCATCTCCGAACTCACCATAACATTGATACAAAGATGCATCTTCAAACTAAATTCACCATAACATTGATACGAAGATGCATTGACAAAATAAGAATGGCTCACCAATTTGCGCTAATGAGTGTGTCAAAAGAGCGCGTCCGGAGATATATCTCCAAATTCTAAGATGTCCACGTGTATAAAACATTAAAGATGTTAAAGATGTTGACTATAAATTGAATTATTAAGTAACCCGAATGATATGCTAAGTTAGGATTTTTTAAGCATGTATGTGGTTTTGCTTTTGACCCACACTCAAATGACGGGGAAACTCCTACATATTGAACCCATCCTCGTGCGACTTTGAATGAATGTTGAAGGCATATCAATTATTTTGAACAAAAGGTTTAAAACAAGTATTGATACATATACATTTTTAATTTTACTTTAGTAAAAATGAAATAATAGCTACTTTGAAATATTTTAATGGATTTTAAAATTTTACAACATCTTTCATAAATTCTTCTCTTCCCCTCAAAAACCCAAGTCTTAAACAGTATAAGTACAATTAACATAATGCAAATTCATGCAAGAATTAATTTTTGTATGCTGTTTTGAAAATACATCTATCTTATAAACATGTCAAAAGCTATTTCATAAAATAAACCGTATCAAATCCTCGAGACTTCTGGAGGTGGATTGTAATCTCTACCACAAATCCCAAATTTAAGTAAAATAAATCCTCGACCATGGATAAAGTTAGTATTGTCCTCAATAATATAAACTTGAAACTTCGATTGTTTGTAATTTACATATGAACTATGCGGCCATTGGTGATATATAATTAGTCATATTTTCCAATATAAATGGGATACAAAGATGTCAACATCTCTCTTAAAATATATTATATATCAAGGTACAATGCAGAGGCTGCATTGCAAAACTAGAGAGTGTAAACTCGTTTATGACCTGACTTTAGCTAATCTGGCCCTAATTTCTTCCATTTCCTCCTCATCATCAACACCCTCAGCTATAGCCTCTTCCTGTAAATAATAATGCATCCCATAATTAGTTTAACTCAAAGACACTAGAAGAGTCTTATTACCAGCAAAATCGAATTGCACGCACCTCCTCTGCAGCCCCAACACTTTGACCAGGTTGTTTCACCTTTTGTTTCCTCGCAGCTTCAGGAAGTTGTGCGGCTGTCTCACCAGCTATTGCGGTTAAGACTTTGTCAACTTCTTCTTCTATCTCATCTTCTATGTCCTCAGAATCTAATGCCGAGTCAACAGCATCGTTTACTATCTCTTCAATGACTCCTGCCTGAAACATAAGACATTACTAATAACTAACATGCAATTATGTTTTATAATTATAGAGAGGACTAGGAGAGAGTGTATTGAATGCATACCTTTGTCATTTCTTTGCTGAACTCTTGCATAGCCACAGCCATTTCAGGAGCCTTCATGAGGTTATTGACAAGCTTCATAACCTCAGCACTCTTGGATAGATGTCCCACAGTACGAGAAATTGCTGCAAAAGCAACCCAAATCATGAACTTCCAGTGAACATAGTTAGAGATTAAACAGCTGAACCAGAAAATGCACGACTCAGACAATAACCCCCATAAACCCTGTCACATGACTTGCAAACCTGTCAGTACAATTTTATCATGCACCACAAAGGGCATATATCAATTAAAATGAAATTCTTTTCTTTCATCATTTAACTAAGAATTTCATATAAAATTTATTTTTAGACATTTTAATTAGTTATTTTAGGTAAGTAAAATATAAGTTGCAGATTTTATGCTTCCAAGTCTGACACTTTGGTACAATCGCCCAAAATCAAGACAAAAAGAAAGAAATATTCTTCTATTGGACTCAAGGAATCTTCCGATGGCTCAATGTGCGGTCCAGGAAACAAGAATACAAGCCAGAGATTTCGAGATCCCTAATCTCTCCCTAACTACAATTTCTCAAACACTCCCATTTCCTCTCTATTCACTCCTATATACATTCTATCACTTCTACCCTCATGTTAAATTTATTGCTATGTTGATCTCAAATAATTGTGTGCAACACCGGTCCCCATAACTGCTACAGTGACTAGCAAGATAACCACTATTGTAAAGACTAAAAATTAGTATACAAACTTAAACATGAATACTCAAAATAGAAAAATACACAAAATTAAAGTGGTAATCATACAATAATTATAATTAACTTTATTAATTTCTCACTAATATTAACAATCACAAAACCCTTGGTCAACAAAGAAAACAATCCAAAACCAAATATAACTAACCTTCTAAATAACTTTAAAAAATAAAAAATACTACTAACTAAAGATCAACAGCAGAAAATAAAAACTTAACTTCTTGTACTTATATTAAAAATTAAACTACATGATGGTGTCAATATTGAGTATTTCACGGAGAGAAGGGGAAAGAACAGATGAAAGGAAACCAAAGAATGGGGGAAAAACAAACCCATAGAACGTCGCAGATGAAGTTGCCGTTGGCAGAAAATCTGACACCGTCTCCAGAAACAAAGAGGAAAGGTGCCTGGCTGTGCAGCGTCGTCCCAATGGTTCATCTTCTCACTTGAAACAAAGAGGAAGAACAAAGGTCGTGTATTTTGGCTTGAATGAGAGTAGGAAGAATGGTAGTGATTAACATGATATTGTGAAATTACCAAACAACCCCTTGATAAACTTAAAACGATATAAGGGGGTAAGCAAGGTATTGCGAACTGTTCAAAAAACACAGGGCGTGGCAAACCCTTACACAGAAGCAGTTGTGAAATGCCTTCTCTGCCACAACTTTTCTACAATTAGCAGCCACTTCCGTCGCTACTGCTGGCCGCGAGTAGTACTCTAATTGCGTCCCAGCAGACCCCAACTGCTCAGTGAAAACACTATATGCCTGATGTGCTATTGACAACATAGGTCTGTCATTTGGCTACAACTTCCCTACCCCTTTGCTGACTTATAATCCTTTAAAAAAAGTTGTTGAATTTGCATTCTTACTTCTATTTAAACAATCCAAAAACCTCAAATAAGATCACATTAGCAGAACCTCTTTATCTTCTCTAATGGAGGGGATAAAAACTAAAAACCATATAAAACAAAACAATTATGCCTGCTGCGTACCAAACAATTCCTAAAGGCTGTGCTCGCGTGTACTTAGAAATCAAAGCACTGCTCAGAAGCCAAAGATCGTGTTACAAGCCAGAAAGCGAATCAGAGACAATGTAAAAAACAGAAATAATCAAGAGACTATAGAACTGATGAATAATGAAGGAATTATATAAGAGGAACAATAACCCAAGTCCAACACAGAGCTAGGCTCCTATAGGAAGGTAAAGCTACCTACTCATAACTAATTTCTCAATTCATAATCAATCCCTCGATCCACGTTCAACTCCATATATTCAGGAAATGGTTAACAGTCTCAACCTCTTACTGCCATGTCACTGTAATACTCACTTAATACTATAAGTTCCCACCTAACCCTTTTTAGAATATACCTTCCAAATACTAGGCCCTCTATTGCCTTGATGGACCAATTATTCATTTGGGTTTTACACGCTCACAGGCCTAACAATATGATGTCCATCAATTACTTATGTTGAAAATATTTAATTAATAGAGTAACTCCCGAAAATATGATGCACAAATAGAAAGTAAAAAAAAAGATTTCCATCTATTCAGGAAAATACCAGGCGAACGTTAGGAAAACCATGAAGGTGAGTAACACAGAGTTTTGAAGAAGGGGAGAGTTTGAAACACAAACTAACATTTGGGGTTATGTGTTTTCATCATTCACTGTCTCATGTTTATACTCATAAAAATTATGAAGAAAAACAGAAGATGAGAGATGGATGAGATGGAGTACACCTTAAGGGTGAGATGGAGTACACATTACGGTACGCAAGGACAAACACGCACCTTCAAGATTTACAAACAACTTAACTTAAAAAATTAAAATGATAGACAAAACAGGGCAATCGAGATTTGATCACGGGATCTGATCTGATGTTATTTTGTAATACTAGTCCATAAGCTCCATCAATGTGATCGATGGCAGATGACGACATGGCGGAGAGCCAAAATTCAACCAAAGTGGCGCCGTTATAGCGGATTATGTGGGAAAATCTGCAATATCAGCCGACACTTACCATTGCGGTGAGCCCAAAAACTGCCATGTAGATCTATTTGATAACACTGAGCACCGTACAACTACTTGATAAGCTACTCTCTGTAGCTTATAAATAAAAACTAGCTATGAACAGCTCATGAGTCAATATAAGCTACTTTCATATCAACTCCAAACACTTGCATAAGCACTTATAGAGTAATATATAAGCACAAAAAAGATTCTGATGCCTAATCCAAACGCACCCAAAATGCCTCACATGAAGCAATAAAATCAGCTCTCCTTTAAGCCTTTGCATGTCATATAGACATCCCACTCAGCTCTTTCCCCTACCTCAAAAAACTATAGATAGAATTGTCAGATAGTCTCAACTGAGTTTTCCTCATTACAAAACATTTGATCATCAACAAATTCAATAATGTTGACAAATCTACTTATTCAACTTAAAACAAAAAACCTTTCACTAAGCATCAATTATCATACAACTAGTATAAAACACAAGTAACCGACTCAGACAGATTTTAATTAACTGAACAAATTAACACAAATAAAACATGGCAAAACCTACCAACACTTTCACCAAGGTGCATTGATATTGAATTCAATTGCGCTTTATTTTCATGAAGCCGGTTCACTGTTTTCCTCGATCTCACAATTTCCGTAGCAAGTGCCTGTGATAAAATTGAGCAAATATCATAATAAAAAACTTACTTTTCTTCAAAAATAACAACTTTTAGACATCCCAAATAAAATAAAAAACATGCTTCCTCAAATAACATAATCACAGATCTCAAAAATAAAAACCACCTTTGCAGAGCCCATGTCATTCCTCTTGGCAGCTTCTTTAATAGCCTTCTGCACAGTTTTTTCCTCTCTCTCAATATCTAAAACAAACCACGCAAACACAGAAATCAAACATAGCCACAAACATAAACAATCAATTAGGGTTTAAAGATAGAGAAAAAGGGGATTACCGCGAATTTGACGCTCAATGTTTCGACACTCTTGGCGAAGCCTCCGTTGCCAATCTCTCAATATTTGCTGAGGATTTGGCTTCGGTTTCAGAATGTTCATCACCTTCTCCATGAACCCAAAAATATATATAAACAAAAATTGGGGATCGGAAAAATTGAGAGTTACCCACAAAAACTATTGCTTGAGAATAAATTATTAAAGGTTAGATCCTAGTGAAGCAACATATTATGAAGGGTTATTCGATTTTGGTGATATGCGTAGTAAAACCTTGCGAAGAACACACCCGCGTTTCAATAAGTTTCTTCGATTTCACTTTTAGTTCCACGCGTATTCCACAGTGATTAGGGATTAAAAAATCCGTACCGTAACTTGGGATATTTGATGATAAAACCCGTTACAAACATGAGTTTGATGATTTAATGAATATTTACCAATAAAATTAAGAATATTTATTCATTTGTTAACTGTAAATATATATTTGATGGTGCTCCTACCGTGTATATCCGTATTAATTGATAACTATTAAAGTTATTAGTAATGTTTTGTTAAATTTAAAATTACTATTATCAATAATATTATTTTATTGTATATGAAATCATTATTTTTATTTTTATTTTAGAATAATTATTTCTTGTTATTCTTTTTTTAAAACCGAAATGGGCCAGATTATTGCTTTTTGAAAAAGTTGTTTGCGATATGAAGGAAGTTTTACCTCATACCCCTACACTTGTACCTATACCCCTACATTAAAAAATTTTGGACCAAAATATCCTCGTATAAAAATTTATTATTTTTTAATTTTTTTATATTTTTTTATTTGTTTACCGGAAGACTTTTTGGAAGTCTTCCGGTTCACATTTTTTTTTGTATGTTTACCGGAAGACTTTTTGGAAGTCTTCCGGTTCATATTTTTTTGTTTGTTTACCGGAAGACTTTTTGGAAGTCTTCCGGTTCATATTTTTTTTTAATTTGTAATTAATATTTAAGATTTATTAACTTTATATAAAGACCAATTTAGTGAATTTTTAAATATTATACTTAAAATATAAAAATTCTATAAATAGAGAATTATTTTCAGAATATTTTCTATTTGATATAATTATTAGAATACAATGAGATTAAAATCATTTATTTTAAATGATCATAATAATAAAATTTTCTCAAATATCTTATTAATCTTAAACATTAATAAATAAAATAAATTTAAATATAGGATATAAGTTTACATTATTCAATATATTTAATCGAATGAAAACATATGTGATAAATAAATAATGTATTTTAACTTAAAATGATCACAATAAGTTAACTTGCAAAATAATATAAGTAATAAATTAATAATGTATTTTATTTAAAATAATCACAATAATAGAATACGCAAATAATGTGTTTATTTATAGGACTGATATAGTTTTATTGATTATTTAATTTTAAATACTACTATGAATATAGTATTTAATCTATACTTTAGAACTCACATAATTATAAATATAAAAAATATTGTTTTATTACCCATATTTTTATTTAATTAAAAAAAATAAGAATATAAATTTATTATTTGTTTTTCATTTTCGTTTGATCTTTTTTTTATTTATAAATTTTTTGCATATTCTATATTGTGCTTACTTTAAATAAAATATATTATTTATTTTATTAAAAATATTAAATAAAGTGAAATAATTAAAAAGATCAAACAAAAATGAAAAATAAATAATAAATTTATATTCTTATTTTTTTTTAATTAAATAAAAATATGGGTAATAAAACAATATTTTTTATATTTATAATTATGTGAGTTCTAAAGTATAGATTAAATACTATATTCATAGTAGTATTCAAAATTAAATAATCAATAAAACTATATCAGTCCTATAAATAAAACACATTATTTGCGTATTTTATTATTGTGATTATTTTAAATAAAATACATTATTAATTTATTACTTATATTATTTTGCAAGTTAACTTATTGTGATCATTTTAAGTTAAAATACATTATTTATTTATCACATATGTTTTCATTTGATTAAATATATTGAATAATGTAAACTTATATCTTATATTTAAATTTATTTTATTTATTAATGTTTAAGATTAATAAGATATTTGAGAAATTTCTACTATTATGATCATTTAAAATAAATGATTTTAATCCTATTATTCTAATAATTATAGTAAATAGAAAATATTCTGAAAATGATTCTCTATTTATAGAATTTTTATATTTTAAGTATAATATTAAAAAATTTACTAAATTGGTCTTTATATAAAATTAATAAATCTTAAATATTAATTACAAATTAAAAAAAAAAAACATGAACCGGAAGACTTCCAAAAAGTCTTCCGGTAAACAAACGAAAAAAATATGTACCGGAAGACTTCCAAAAAGTCTTCCGGTAAACATACTAAAAAAATGTGAACCGGAAGACTTCCAAAAAGTCTTCCGGTAAACAAATAAAAAAATATAAAAAATATTAAAAAATAATAAATTTTTATACGAGGATATTTTGGTCCAAAATTTTTTAATGTAGGGGTATAGGTATAAGTGTAGGGGTATGGGGTAAAACTTCCCGATATGAAATACAATATGGGCTTTAGGCCCATTTTTTATTTTTTCCCTTCCCCCAATTTAACATAAACCCTAGCGGCATTATGCCATTATTCATGTTCCTCTATTCTATGTGATAGAAACTAATCTTCTTGAATTTTTTGCTTTTTCTCATGATGTAGTAGCACATTATACGCTTTTCCTCAATGTAGGCATTACCATTGTTGAACATATATATTAATTATTTGTTGTCTGAAGTCATCTCAAGCTTTTCATAGTCGCTCTCGATCGCATGTTCAATGGTCATCTTTATTGCCTCAGTCGTCAACAATTTTTTTTATTGTCATTGATCCACCCTATTTCCTCCTTTATATCACATTCCTTATTCCATAATATAGCTCTGATACCCCATCTTCTATCGATTCGGAGGCTCGTGTGACAACGAGCTCTTTGGTTCTGTTTGTGGTTATTGATATCGTTCATTGGATCCTTATATTTCCTGTTGATCTCCTTTATTCCTTTGTTGTTGTTGTTTTTCCTCATCTCAGACTCTTGCGTGTTTTTTCTATTGTATGTATCACCCGGTTTCTTTAACATCTCCTTCAGATGGGTCAGTCTATCCAGATGCATGTGTTATTCTCGTCTTCCATGGTTCAGTTCCATCGATATTTAGATGTTGTGTTGATTGTTCTTCATATGACTCCACTAATGTCTGTCAGATCTACTATTTTTGTCAGGTAAGTTCGCATTGTTGTTGATGTCTCTACGATGCTTCTTCAACTTAACTTTCTCTTTTTCATTTATGGTCTTCTAGATGTTATTATTATTTCTGTTATATGCCATACCCCAATTTTTCCCCACTTTTTTTCCTTTTTTTTTCTTTTTTTTTGCTCATGCTTAAATCATCTGCATGCATTGTTATCTTAGTATTTCACCCATTGCATTTCGCATATTTCGTCAGTGGGCCAAAGGTTCGATAATAATGGATTTAATTAGTTTAAGTGGATTTTTGAGGCGGGTATTATTTGATGATTATTCAGGTTTATTTTCCATATTACTTGTGGTGCATATCATCTTTTTATTCAAAATTCACGATTAGTAGGGGGATTGGAATGATTGTTATTTAATTCAAAAGATTGTTTGAATTCAAATAAAAGGGCAAAGTTGGAATAAAAATAAGATTTCACTCATTTATTAAGAATTCATGGTAAAATGCATATTGCTTGAAATACAAATCAAAAGAATGGATTACAAAGAAATAGGGTAAAAAAACTACATCTTTTGGGTACATTTGATGTTTTTGGTCAAATAGTTGACTTTTTGGTCAATTGTTGACTTTTGGTCAACTACTGATCATTGACTCGATTTTGACTCCTGAATTTTCCTAGACTTGTTTCACAAGCATTTGATCAAAGGATTCATCATTATTCACCAAAAATGATTTATGTCATGATTTGTTATAAATACTAATTTCCAACAAATTATATCTTCCATCAAGCTTCACTTCCATGGTTTGTTCTTCACTTTCCAATATTGCTTCAAGTTTATTCTTCCACTACAGTACTCACTTTGCTATAAGGAAGAAGTTACACTAAGTTAGACACTCATATCATGAAGTTAAATCATCAAGAAATCACGAAAAAGTCATGAAAAACTCAAGAAAGAAAAGGAAAATTATGCATTATTCCTTAAATTCAATATTTGTTTTTTCAACACTTTCCAACATTAATTCATGCCCAAAAATCCAGAGTTTGATCCATGAGTTTACACAATTCAAAATTACTTATTTTCAACACAAAATCACTTCTCAAAAGCACTTAAAGTCATGGGATAATTCACAAAAAAAACCAAGCACCATTTGTCTCTAATTACATGTGCATTCATAATCATTCAATTATACAATTAACCCTTAACTACCATAATTGTAACACCCTTTTTCTACCCCAAAAATATCAAGGCAAAATAACACAGAAATCATAGTGAATAAATAAATCTCATTAAAAATACACTAAAAGGGCGTACATTTCTCAAAGTCATCAAAATAGGTCCATACTCCGTAACTACGGGTTTTTCCCAAAGTACATTAAAACATCATAAAAAGCGGAACTCAAAGCATAAATCAAAGTTTTCCTCAAAAAGGGAAATTAATCAAAATAACGTCAACAGTATAAAATCAACTCAAGGAACCCAACTCGATGTTACATATCATAGCAAGACCCTCTAGGCTGACCAAAAGACTAAAACACTAAAAAACAATTCATAATAATCAATGTATAACAATTAATGCATAAACGTCATCATAATCATATTCAATACATTCATATCCTCAAATATGCCTCAAAGGCCACAACGTCATAATTTATACAAAAGATTCATAAATGCAATACAACACAACTCAATGCATGTGGTACCAATCATCACAGTGCGATGGACACTGGGCCATCAATCCTCCATAGATCCCCATCAATAGGATCGATTCTACTAGAGAACCGGAGCACATCAAAATACTTCACATCCACACAGTGGGATTGAAGCCAAAGTAATCGAGGTCCTGAACCGAAAT